GAAAACTAAACACTCCCAACAAACCAGGGGCGGACTGGCGACGCTACGGCCTCGTGGGCATTTTTTTATAGAGGCCTCATTTATATGGGGGCTTCGCCCCTTCCCTTATATGGCTTCTTCGATTTACATGATTTTTATTACTTCTTATTTTTGAAAATAAGTTCAAAAGATTTACATTTTTAGTAAAAAAAAGAATAGTATTTATAATTTATTTTTAAAAAATGCACATCTAAAATCATATTCACTACCAATATAAAATAATATTCATTGCACATATATATTTTTTTATATTAGATTTATAACGATATTGCACTATAAAATCAAATCATACATCACATGTTAAATATAAAAAAATACATACTTAATATATCAAATCTATTAATTTTACACATATAATTATTGCAGTTATACAATATTACAGCGTAAATTGCTGCACTTATAAAATCAGGCACCGATCATATTGTAAATAGATATTAATAAAATTCAAATAAAAGAATTAAGGAAATATATAATTTTTACGTTAATAAATCTCTCATTAATTTTGAACCTTTACGCAAATATACAGGAATATCTTCTAGTTCAATCTGCGCCAATGGTTCTCATTCAACTGACATCATTAAAAACGCTTCTAATTTTTCTTGGTCAATATTAGATCTCAGCTTATTTTTGTAATTTTTAATTTACTAAATGTTTTCTCGCAATTAATTTGCGTAAATGACAAAGTTAAAATGTATTCATATGCCAATAAATTAGTGTCACTTGTATGCATATTGCATCTTTTAAATTTCATACGCGCATATTAAACATTTGTTACACTTATTATCACACTCTGAGTTATTATGATATTGTAATATTCCTTCTTCTTCATTTGATTCCTCACTTGTTCATACGATCATCTTCCGTTTCATTTATTCTGCTACCATATCTTTGAATACACTGGCAAATGAACATTATTCGTTACGTAATTTAACACGCAATATATATATCTTTACTATTTATTTCATCAAGATAGAAATACTGAAATCATACTTCCCAACCTCATAGGATTTTCCACACATTTTAAGAGGAAATTAAAAATTATTCTATCTGCTGAATATCCTCAGCAATATAAGATTTGCAATCTAAATTTTAAATAGTTAAACATTTTAAAAGGGGGTATATCATTAAATTATTTTTCTGGCATCCCCTTCCTTTAGAGCCTGGCATAATTTCCTTCTTATTTCTTTTTTTTCTCTTTAGCTTTCACCTTTTCTGGTGGTAAGGTCCTTCAACATCTCTCTCCACTTTATGTTATTCATACAATCTCTTTTATCTAATTTATACTTCTTAATATTGGCTCTAACTTTATGGCCCCATTGAAGTTTTGGCCTTCCTCTTTTACGTTTGCTCATCACTTCCAAGCTCTCAACCTTATTTCCTATGTAGTTCATAGGCCTTCTCATTGTGTGCCCATACCACCTAAGTCTGTTTACCATTAACTTAGTCTACCTTTAAACTACTTAGTATTCTTGTACTGTGCACTTTATCCTTTCTTGTTACCCCAGCAATCATCAGCATTCTCATTTCCATATTTTGAAGACTTCTCTCGTCTGATTCCTTGGTTGGCCATGTTTCCGAACTATATAGAATAGTTGGTTGTATTATGGAACTGTAAATTTTTCCCTTTAATTTGTGTGGGATTCTTTTGTCAAATAGCACTTTTAACCACCCTTGATTAATTTTACTCTTTATCTCTTTTTGCAGTTTGTTTATATAATGGAGCCCTTTCAATTGCCGATATCTGCCATTCATTTATATCAATACTCTCTGTTTCATCTCCTCCTATCACCATATATTCCGTCATTTCTCTATTTACTTTTAGTCCGTGCTTTTTTAGGATATTTATCCAATTGACTAATTTTTCTTTCATTTCATCCTTGGATTCGGCAAGTATCACAATATCAACTGCAAATATCATATTCCACGGGACTGTTTGAGGTAAAGATTGTGCTAATACATCTATTACTGTAATGAAGAGTAGTGGGCTGATAGCCGATCCTTGATGAATTCCTTCGGCTATTGTGAAGCCTGCTGAAGTACCTGTTGCGCTACAGACCATTGTTGTATGGCCCATATACATATCCTGTATTATTCTTATATATTTTTCGGGAACCTTTTGTGGCGTAGGGCCCACCAGATAAGTTTTCTGGGATTCTATCGAAGGCCTTTTCTAGATCGAGAAATTTTTTGCAGCTTTCTCAACTTATTTTGGCCAGATGAATTATTCTGTTTCACTCAGGTATCCATCCTTTAATCTGATTCACCGACCTGGATTTTATTTGATTTCCATGAATTAAGAACAAGAAATGTTGGCTATATTATTTCTGCAATTCAATGTATAAAATGTAATATAATGAATTAATCAAAACTTAGCTTTCACTCTACTCAAACGGAAGCGTTTTTACTTCATTTGAAAAAAGCAAAGAAAAAAACGAGGTAATGATGTATAGCGTCAAGCGACGTTACTGGTATTTTATGCATTAAATTATAGTAAACGACATGACAATTGTCAAGGAATGTGATATTCAAATCATAGAGATATCATTAAAAATAAATAAATGATAATAGTAAATAATGTGAACATAATAATAGATTTTTTTTCTAATCGGCCTCTTTTTTGATATTTTCCTCTGATCGGCCTCAAAAATCGACATTTCTCGCGGCCTCGTGGGCATGCCCACCTGGTCTTATAGCCAGTCCCCCCATGCAACAAACTGCTTAAGACAACTATGTCCCAAACGTGATTTTTTTAAAAATATACAATAAATTTAACAAATAATTTGAAAAAACTTTAAGGTTATTAAAATTTTGAATAGGTTTAACACGTTTTTATTTTTAATTATTTCCCTTAAAGTTTTTGAATTTTGTCAATTTCAAATCCTTTCTTTTTTTAAAAAATAAGCCGGTAATTTTATGAGCCTCAGCTAGTTTGATCTCTAGTGAACAACTATTTTATATCGCCAACCAATAATGGTTTACTAGAGAAAAGGTGAATGCAACTAAAGTGCTCTACATTTATTCTTTAAAAAAATTTGATTTATAAATATGATGTGAGTGATGAAATCTTAAAATTTCTACAAAAATATATAAGATTTTTTAATTATTATTTGTGATTATGCAAATAAAAAAGAAGAATTATAATATTTCGGTGAATTAATTAAGTCCAAAAACGTGAAAATATATTAATAACTTTGTAAAGTTAAGAAAAAAATAATTATAGTTTAAAAATATTTATCGGGGGTGACGCACGTGATCAACATTTTGTATTTCGTCAATGAGCAGGTCTGAAGAAAAAAAAATTGAGCATCTGTGAATAAATTTTTTTAGAGCAAGCAAGTGGGAGGGTCTTCAATAAAAATTTAGACTACTCCCACCTCTTGTTCCAATATTTTAGCCTCATTCCAAACTACCAAAAAATAGGCCCCTAATAATATTAGTACTAATGAGTGACCTTGAGGTAGTCCTGATCCACACTTTTTAAAACATAGGGGATTAAGAAAACTGTATAAATATACGGATTCTTTCAATGATAAGAAAAATTTAGAGTCTTATCTTTAAATAAATGTCAGATATCAGTTAATTCTAGATTATATTACGAATTCATAGCCTATGAAATAATCTAATACCAAATTTTATCAATATAGGATTTTTAAGAAAATTTTAATAATACAATTAGAAAAATTATACAATGTAAATATATTTTGTAAGAAAAATAAAAATATCTTCTAAATGTTTTGTAACATATCTTATAATGTCAAGAAAGAAAAAAAGAAAAAATAATAACACTTTTAAAACATTTGAATTTTTTATTTAGGGTTTAGAGAATTAAAAGAGGCAAATTCAGAATCGCCTTCCCCCTCTGTAATAAGCCATTGTATAGAGTAGTAGCTGAGTTGTTTTCATTTAATAAATTTGTGCACCACTTTCATCTTGAGGAATCCAAACAAAACAAACAAAAAATGCTAAAAGAGAAATATTTTGCCCAAATTTAGAATAAAAATTTATAGTAATATCATAAGAAGTTGATATAGAAATATGATATATTAAAATTATCTATAATTTAAACTGAGCTTCAGTCTCTAAACTTTGATACTTCTCAATTAAAGTAAAGTGTATTGATGTGCCCCATGTTCTGTTTCGCCTCGGTCTAACATATTAACATTATAAATTCCATGAAATAATTGTCGGACCCAGATCGTTAATGGTTTGAAAGAGGTCGCCCAGCATGGAAACACTTTTAAATAAAGAAAAATTCATAAATAAATTTTCTGAATATAAATTTTGATATACAACGACATCCACTAAAAAAAGTGTAAATGCCCTCTAATTTTATAAATGCCTTTTAAAATCATATTAACTCATGTTTTCGAATTCTGAAAAATTGTCAAATTAAATAATCGGGAATAAACTTTCCATCATCTATTTACTGCGATTTTTAGGGTTTTAATTATAAATCTAAACGATTAAGTTTGTTTTTATTTTCTTTTGGTATAGTAAAATATATTTACTTATTAAAATAATAAATATTTTTAGCCAATAATGTATGACACAATGTGCTATTTTAGGTTTAAATTTTTATTTGATGATGGTTTGGAAATAAATTAGAGCGGACAAACGTTTCCCCTCTGTCCCCAAAGTGTCGGCTCCAACTACTCATTCCTATTTTTGTACCAAAAATAAATATTGTGACAGCTATTTAAAATTTAAAAAAAAGACCAGGACTAGCCTTAGGCATCGTTTATATAAACTGTGATGTCAAGCGACTTGTAATTAAATTCTAAATAAAAGCACATATTAAAATTATGCATCTTGTAAGCGACGGACCTCACCTTTCATAAAAATTAGCGTTTTTCATTTCTTTTTTTACCTGAGACAAAACAGATATTATGATAATAAATCCATGGTATAAACTCATAACAATTTATAAACATTTCATAACTTATTTTTATATAAAATTATAGGAATTACTCATAATTCGGCCGGAATTTCAAACGAAAAATGTTACAATTTTATCAAGAGAAAGCGAAGTGTTCCAAAGCCGAATACCTATCATATACCTATGCCATCGTCTCACCAAAATCCAATATCGTCGGATACAATAAATATGGATATTCCCTTCCTTAAACCTTCGTTATTTTCGCGTTTATTTGGGTTGCCTCATAGACTAAAAAAGTTTGATGATCAAATTTATACTAATAATGACAAAGCGTTCTCAGCAAATCACGCTAGAAAGAACGCACCTATTACTGAATTTAATGCAGAACATAATGACAATAAACAAACTATATTAGATAAAAGGTCTAATATCAATAGTAAAAGTTCGAGTCATTTCAACATTGCAATTAAAAAAAATATATCTGACACTATTACAAATTTTATTTTTACTAATAATGCTGATATAGCAGTTAATAATACCCTTTACGAAAATACAGACCAATTTAAAGTAGAAACCTTTAAAAATTTTACTAACCAAGATGTCCAAGCTAAGTCATTTCATCATATAGGATCATTAATTTTGAAAGAAATTGCAAAAATTCGGGCACCAGATCTGACTAAGAAAGATGGGTTGAAATCTTACGATAACGTAGCTAGATATTTCGAAAATTTTATTTTAAATAAAAGTCGGATAAACGATTCCACCGATTATTATGATGATTATTATACTGACATCGACAAATAATTTTTTTTTTATCAATATAAAAAATCTAATCAAAAAAAATTAACTCGCTATAATGCGCTCGAAAGAAATGGGTTTTTTGCATTCGGTTTAATAATTACTCATTCCAAATATTTTTTGTTGATAAAAATTTAAAAAAAATATATCTTCCATCTCCCAGATCCCTACTCTGAAATCATTTTTTTAAACCTACAATTCAAATATTATGGCAAAAAATACGACACTCATCAAATCGGTATGGCATGATAATTTAGTCATACATACTAAATATATTTAACTTTTTTCTATATCTACCAATTAAAGTTCAAAACATTATATTTGTTGTATATTAATCAATCCTGACCTCATTTGTTTATAAAAAACAAAAATATTTTTAACTAGAAATCTGTATTGCTTAGAAAATATTCAAAAATTTGAAACCAAAATCATTTTGCGAAAATAAGTTAAAAATCCAAAATAAAAAACATAAAATGGCGTGAATTATTTGAGCGCTTTTTTTAAAGAATATATTGATAAATAATTTTTATCTACATCTTCAGAAATAATTAAATCCGAGACATGAAGTTGTAAAATAATCAAAAAACACCAATTTATACCAATTATGAGCGGTTCGAAATATAATTTTTTCACATATTCTTACTAGGCCCGTAATTATTTACTCTAAAGGTCTCGGTACAATACGTGCCATGAATTTATATTATAATTGTGATTCTTATAAAGTGAGTTTATATATTTTGCCAATTAAATATGTTTCCAAATATTACAGTATAAATGATTATTTGGACATAATTTATTATCATTATATTAATAAAATTGCGCGTATTCGAAATTATGTATATGTATAAAATTTTGATGAATTAAAATGTTTGACATATTTTTATGAACAAATTATCTTATAAAAAAAATTTAAATAAAAATTATTAAAAAAAATATTCAATCCATAATATACATAAGCAATAATCGGTAATGTTACATGAATGAACATTTTATTTTTTTTTAAGACATAAACAAAATATTTCATAGTCCAAAATCCAGATTAAGGTGGTACTTTCGATCTATCTACTTTATGAATTTCAAATTTATTGTAAATTCTTTATTTTTAACAATTTTGATATACAAAATCAAATGAAGAATTTTTTTAATGCCATGCAAGGTTATTATTTTTATAAAATAGTTAAACTATCTCCATTTTTCCTCCAACTAGTTTGATGGTCATCATTTTATATCATAATATCTATTTACTTTACCATTCTCGATTACTTTCTCTCATTATTCCATTTATCAAACTTTATACATATCATTTTATTCTTCCTTCTATATGTATGAGCTTATACCACGCGGGGGAAGGCTACGACCAAGGATCGTCATTGAAATTGAAAGGAAGTAATTTTGATTTCTTAGATAGTTTTGATGTAGTTATATGGGGTAGGAGGTTCCCATGTTTTATTAGGTTTTTTATTTACAAATAGAGGGTAAAAAAACTAATCCAATAATACCAAATTCGAGTATTAAATAAATATATATAAAAATACTATATTCTATAAAAATAGAAGTTTTAAACAGATTTTAGAATATTAACTAAAATGTTTTCCTGTATACTTACTTTGAATATTTTTAAATAGTGGTTCTGATACCTAAAAATTTGGAAGGGAGGGTATCCTGATACCAATTTTAAGATTTGACTCAAATTCCATACAAACTGTTGACAGTGAAAATATTTATAAAAAATTAAATAATAAATAAATCCGTTAAAATCAATCACTGTCGCAGCATTTTAAAAAATATATAGAAATTACATTTTTGTTGGAATCGGTTCTATGAACTTTGGTTCAGGTTACTACAAATTTAAAAAGGGGATTCGATGGTTTCTAGATTTTTTCAGATTTTGGTTCGGCACTCTGGTTAAATTAATTTATTCTAATCCTTTGCGAATTTTCAAAATATCAATCTTACCCAAATTGAGTATAATAGCGCCATTATCATATATTTGTATGCGCATGTTTTCTATTGCTATATTGAGGTATGACAATTTTATCATTTACTTAACCTTTCCTCGTTTAACCAAATAAAACGAAGAATAAAGTAATAATTATCATCAAAATCGCATAAACAATAAAAAGGATTGACGAAAATAAAATCATTACAATAAGTAATGGATTTTTTACTTAAAGATTTGTTGAAAAGGCAAAATAAAGGATCTGCATTGAAGCTTAGAATATATTTCATGTCCATCTATTCAGCTTCACTATTCCACATACTTTTTAAATTTATTATCGATTTTGCCGACTTATCAGACGGCTCATACCTAATGCCTAACCATGATTTTATATCAAATTATATAGATGTGTTAAATATTATGATGTTAATTGTCATCCACAAATTTATCTAAAGCATTCATTGTCAGTATAATGTAAGACCCTAAGATTAGAGCCGTAATTAGAAGAGTTGGGGGGGGGGGGGTACTAGGGGAGCCATATTTTTTTAAAGTTGTATATTTTAATCATATTCTACATTGGAGTTACCCTTAGTTATCAGAATTTACTTCCATGTATCATAACCATTTAAAAATTGAAGCCTCCATTAGTGTAGTCTGATTGAATAAGGTGACAGCAAGATACCCTGACTAGCCATTCAAACTTAAGCGAGGACGACACACACTTCAATAGTTTCATAATATACCAATGTGACTCCTTCAACATTGGTCGAGGCCGGTAAAATCTAATATTCTCTCAATGAGGATGTATTGAAGCCTAAACTTATATCAATTAATATACACCTTTTTACCAAGTAAAAGATATCTTCCAAAATATACTTCTATTTTAAAAATAGTAGGGAACTTCGACAAAATATATTTATAGTCAATATTATTAATTAGAATATATTATACTATTTATAAAAAATATCAGGTTTCCTGTAAAAGATATTGAAGAATTATTTTATATATAAGTGAAACATACGTAAATGCTTTTCAATTAACAAACTCCTATTTATTCTCCTATTATGAAATGATGATCTAATTATGTTTTAAAATTAACATTGTTGATATCGGACCAATCCTTTTCAGAGTCGCTTTCTTCCAATTTATTGTAAATTCCGTTGATATAATTTTTGTCTCCGTTACTTTTATTCATGGTTTCTAACAATAGGATCTTTTGTATGTAATAAATTAAAATTTAAACTGATCAAAAATTTAATCATAAATTTTAAAAAATATTATTAATGTTAACATCAAAAAAAATTTCTATTCTATTTATCAGAGACCTGCATAAGCCATACCAAACCCGGCCTTTTAATTTATTTTTAAAAATTGGCTCGAGTTGAATATTAACATTATTTAAAAGCCCGCTTCTGATCTATATCATACTATTTTACAGCGTACTCCGAGCAGGGTAGGCTACACTAACCGGTCCTGTAGATAATATTACGATTCAAAATTAAATTGCCAATTTGCTGTAATTTGGTATACATCATGTTGTCAACCTTAGCCGAACCTAAAGTGACTAAGTTTATATTTAATTCAAAAACAAATCAGCGAAGCCTAATTGGTTTAGCCTAAAATAGGCCAAGTCCACTTCCAGAAAACAATTCACTTCTTTAAAGCAGCTCTAGGTATGTTTTAAGCATTTTTTAAAAATTTCTAAACAAAGTAGGATAGTAATTTGTCGAAGTAAAATTTTTTGCATATTAGAAATTTTTTTTAAAATAGCATCGGCATCGCCGTCTTTTGTTTTTTATTATCGATTATAGGTGGCAAATTTATAATATGCAAAAAAATTAATTCGATAAAATTATACTTTGTTTGGAAATAAATAAAAAAAATTGCTGGAAACATGGCTAAGAAGAAGCTTTTAATAGAACCTTATCTAGAGTGGCTTAATCCTAATTAGGTGTAGCCTAAAAATTAGCTAAATTTAATTAGGCCAAGCTTAAAAATAGACTTACCGTTTTTTTAAGTTTTAATTTTGGGTTAAATATTGTAAATTTTAAGTAGGAATGGAATAAATATAATGTAAAAGGTAAATAATGAACAAACTGGTCATTTTTCGAAAAATTTATATTTTGCTTATATTATGAAAATTCATAATTAGCAAAAAAATTTATTTTTATCCTAAATAATATAAAATATGAATAGAAATAGAATAAATATAGTAGGGATATGAAATGAACCATAAATTGGTATTAACGGTTATTATCGAATCCAAACCTATACTACTAAAGTTTTTGAAAAATTTATTTTTTAACCTAAATTTATAAATGTAAAATAGAAATCTATAAATCGTATAAATCTAAAATTTATGGTTTTCTCATATAAAAATGTTAAATTGCAAATAAGGATTACTAAACTTTGTGTCGTCTACTCTCTCTTTTAATTATAAAATACTTAGTTTATTTTCATATTTCATTTTTCAACTTATGAAAAGACGGTTTTTTTTAATCTATTTATATTTATTATATTATTGAGATAAAAAAATAAAATATTTAGTAATAATTGAATTATATTTATATTATAGAATAAATTAAAAGGCAAAATGAAAAATTATTTAAATATTTTATACAGAGCTGCAAAATCAAATTTTTTATAACGAGCCCATCTTAAAACCTAATTAAAAAGATTATTAGGCCCAGCGCTGCCTGCAGTTAGGCTTTATTACAAATGAAATTAAGAAATATATCCTCAAACTAAAAATATTTCTCTCAATTCCTCATCTCTTCTTCTATTATGTTATGCCTTAAATTTAAATGTTCTGCTATCACTACTATAATTATTTGATATATCTATTTAAAATTTTCAATATTAAATCTGAAAAGAAAAAAAATGTCCATTTAACATTTTTGTTTTTGCATTATATTTATTCTATTCTATTCTATTCTTATTTTAATTTACATTATTTACCACGAATTTTTTTAAAATTATCTATAAAAAACATAATCAAAATTGAATTTTTTAAAATGACTATTTTAGACATTGGTCACCATTTACACTATGTTTATTCGAATACAATATTTAACAAAAAAATTAAATGTTTGAAAATAAATGATTATTTAGGAAATATTCATCTTTTAAAATATATTTATTCTATTTCTTTTTAAAATTTACTACATTTAAAAATTATCAATTGGGACATTGGAAACTTTTTACAATTATATTTATTAAACTCCTAATCAAAATTTACAATATTTTAGCAAAATATTTATTTTTTATAAAAATGACAATTTTAGGAACATGGGTTATATATTTAATCGATTTCATTTTAAAATTTACGATATATAAGCAAAAAAAAATTTAAAAGATCATTTTGGACATTGATCACCTTATATACTATGCATAAAAAACTCCATTTCCAAGTCATTTTAATTATAATATAAATTAGGTGAGCCTCTTTTTTAGCTTATTATCTATAGCCAAATTTTAGGCAAAATTTATTGAAAAACTTAATTAGCTTTAAGAAACTTTTTTACGTATAGATTTAATGGGACTGTTACGCTAAACTAGGCTTACATAAAAAATCGACATGTATAATTTGGTTTCCAGATAACTGAAATATATAATTTAGATAAAATTATTGAAAACATTATAAGAAAGTGTTTTGATTATTTTAATAAAGTAAGCACATTTAAAATTTTTACATAGATTATGTTATGTTTTGTTTATAATATCGCTCAATCTGTCATCTAGAAATTGATCATTCAAATAGTTTAGTTTTATTTATAATTAATTTATGTATATCAGTGGTTTGACCAGGATTTATCCAAAGGAGGGGGGGGGGAGTTTACCAATTTTTTTGGATGCTTCGCTCTCTAACTTACATTTATCCGGCCTTTAGGAGGGTCTAGCCTATAAAATTATAAATAAGTATTTTTGGGTTTCTTGGTTATTTTTATTTTGCTTTTTCAAAATATGTAATATCTTTTCTTTATATAATTTCTATTGGTACTGTCTCTTAATTTTTTAATGAACAAGGACAATCATCCTTAAACTAAAGATCTGCAATGAGCGGGGTTTAACCCAAACGTCCTCTCGGTCATTGTTTTAAATTTTTAACCCGCTTGCCTGCCCGCTTATGGTTTTTTTAATTCACCCGCAAACTCGCATGGCTATCCGCCCGCTCATTAATTTAAAAATTTTGTTTAACCCCGCCCATCCAATGTTTACAAATTATTTGGTTTAGCTCTTTATTTATTTTTTATTTTAAAGTTTTTTTACACTTATAAAATATGCAATATTATGAAATAAATTATTTTTAAATAAATAGAAGTATGTTTTGCTCATTCCGACCGAAGTATTTTAAATTCGCCCGCCTATCGCCTGCCCATTTTTTAAAAATATTATTTAACCCACTGCTCACCCACCCAATGTTTAAAATCTTTTAGCCCGCTCTTTTGTAGTGATATAAAAACGCAGTCATACTTGTGGCATCTTTAGAAAATGTCATACCAAAATAAAATAGATTGGTTACGGTGATTGAAAACAAATATAATATATAATTTTTTGCACTCAGGAGGGGTAAGATTGAATGAATCTTTGTAAATAACATTAAGTTCGCTTTTACTTGGAAATATAAAAGATCAATATAAAATTATAGCTTCTTTGTGAAGCATACCGTTTTTTAATTTTTAAGTAATTTTTTATGTGAAACTTTGTTTAAAAAATTGAATGTGCACATATTTATAGATTTTGTAATTTTTTACGCTCTTTTTAAATAGAAAAAATATTTCTTAGGTGATTCTGTAGATAACTAAGGAGGGGGTTCTATCAATTTAAAAGAATAAAGCAAAATTTCGTTTCGATATAAAAGTATTATGAAAACACAAAATTTCGCCAATCATATTTTCCATATAGAGAAGGGCTTTAACCCCTCCCCCTCCTTGACCTACGCCACTGATGTATGTGTATCAATTTCTATTTCATATGTAAGATTAATTTTAATTTTGACATATTCCCATAGTGGGAATATTGTATAAGGTGTTGCAAAAATGTGAATATGAATTCTTTTATTTGTTATTTTATATTGTTTAATGTTTATAAAATTTATTCACATGATCTTACTTATTAGATATTATCAGTGAGTGGAAACAAAAATAGTTGATTATTCATAGAATAGAATAATTGGGCTGAGCAGTTATAATCGAATCGTCAAAATGTTAATTTTAAATAATAAGCCAAAATATATTAAAATTTAAGATTGAAATACTTTATTTTGTATGAAATAAATTCCTTTGATATTTATTAAATTTGTTTTATCAAAGAAAATATTTGAAAGGTAGCATGGGAGATCGGGGTTAGTGTTATCCCGGGGCAGCTAACTTTTTTCAAATGCTTTTAAAACTAATATACCTTAATATTTGAAATTTAAACCATAAATATATTTTAATAAGATGCTTCAATGGTTCTTAAAATATTTGCAAATTTAAGTTTTAACACTTCAAAAACCTTATAATTTTTTACATTTTTAAGCATAATTTTTTTTTATAAAAGTTACTCAGATTAAATATCAATTCTAAATGATAAAGTAATCTTAATTTTATCGTGTGACAATATTTATCTTAATTTAATATCTTAATTTAAATTAAAGTGAAGACCTGGAGTAGGTTTTGTCGGAGTGCGTATGCCATTTTTAAGCAGAGATTTATTTTTAATTTTAAAAATATATATATTTATGAGAACACCAGAAACCATAAGTTGGCCAAGGGTCACGAATGACAATATGAAGATGGTGAGTTGAATTTTTATGGGTTTAAAGTGACAATAAGTTCTTCCAGGATATATATAGTATGGATTGATAAATTTAACAAATATGTTATATAAAAATTTTTGTTTTAAAAAATCTTAACCGCAAAAAGCTATAAGATACTCCGGGTGCTTTTCATAATTCTTAAATTTTCTTTCTTAAATACTAATTTCCACTGTTTATTTGGGAAATTTGCTTCAACTATTTTTTATATAGTACCTCAATTTTATGGAAAATATAACACCGATCTCCCCCTTGCCTTGCGTATATTCTCCCTAAATATTTTTTATTTAAATGGCTTTAATTTTAAATAATATGATTACCGAGTTTTTTGAAGTTGGGGAATTCTTTAGAAACCACAATAATGGTACGTAAAAAATATTTATTATAGCGATGCTCCATACCAGCCTTAAATATAAATTATATAATTGGATTTTAAATTTCTTTTTACTTGTAATAAATAAAATTACATTAAAATAAATCTAATTATAACTCTGAAAAATCAGGCATTTTATGATCAAATTAAAAAAATATAGTTTTCCATCCAGTTCCCTTTGCATGGAAGGTTGATGCGCAATGTTTGGGAAGTTCTTTCCAATAACCTTATGCTTTAAACCTACTATTATCAAAACTATTTATACAAGAAAGAAATGGAGAGCACCTGTGCAATTTATGATTTTCTATTAAATAGAGTGATCCTTGAAATCACAAGAGAAACGACATCAATTAATTTAAAATATATAATCGGTATTCAAGAAAATCAATAATAAGGAGCTCTAAAATCTGCTAACTAAGTCCAATTGACTATATTTTCATTTTTCTGGTTTATCTGATGAACCAAGTATACTTCTATTTTCCTTTTTTTAAATAATAACAAGCATTCAAACTGCGATATAATATAGTATTAATTATTAATAATAAATTCATATGAAATTCCTGCAACGATGATAATAATATAGCATGTCACAACGCAAAATAATTTTTATCTCTACTTACGATAATACTCATGTTCATGCTCATCGCATGTAACAACAGAAGACAGATCCAATGAAACAAAACAATTTTTACCTCTACTTACGATAATATAATGTTTATGTTAGGATATGTTAGGATAATCATTTTACCAGCCCCTGCACCAAAGAAGTTATACATTTCGGGATAAACCTGAAGACTGATCATTTACCAATGACAAAATACAATTTTTTGACAAATATCAGGAATTAACTGACATTTCTTCAGTCAGAGAATTTAATAGGAAAAAAACAATATAATATTGGTAAGATCAACAAATGAAACAAATCCAAAACTATGCTTTCTTTAAAGATTTACTAAATGTGCATACCTTATTTAAAAATTTAACCTTAACATTACTATCAATTTTACAAAAAATGTAGATTTTTTAACCGATTTCAAACCTATTGATTCCTAGTGTATGTTGCAAATACAAAATACGACATTAAAATATATAAAGGTGCTCGGGTTACCTTCTAGAAACTCATATTCTTTGTAGATTTGTACCTTACTAATAAAGCTCATGTTAAATTTCTCTATATTAAGTGCATGTCTGAGCCCTACCCAAAAACGCCTCGTTCTTGACGTTATTCAAATCACTCTTATATTTAATTGTCGCATTATAAGGAAAAATCACTCATAAGGAAAAATCACTCAAGAAATACGTGTGATTTACAATCCAATCTATGGTCGTCCCAAATGTGACCAAATCAAATACTATAACCATAATACACCTGTAATATTCTTAGTATCGAAGAAATACATCTACCAGAACAAACAAAAACTCAAGAAAATTAATAGTTTGATAATTTAATATTTTATTTTTTAAATAATAATTAATTTAAATTAAATTTATCTAAATTATATACCTTTCATATAAATAATATTATCCTAATATAAAAGAGGTAGATAAAATTTTAACTCATTTAATAATGATATTAATTATATATATAAATTATATTTATAAAATATAGTATAAAACTGTTAATATACAAACCTTTTTTATATGTTTCATTAATTGCCTTAGAAAAAGTGATAATTTAATTTAAAAACTAATCCTGATTATTCAATAAACACTTTTATATTATTTTACAAAAAAAATAGTAAGAATAAATTATAGGAATTATATAAAATAACAAAGTGAATGTAGTTAACGTATTTACCATTTAAAGCCGATCCATTTGACGATTCCCCCACCTATAGAAGGACCTAAAAATAAATTTTAATTGTAAGCATAAATGAATATTATAATTGCGTTCTTTATATGACACATGAGTGATCTTACCTAATCCGTAGGCTAAACACGATGCCATCTGACTTATAGAAAAAACGGCTCCATACATTCCCGAGTGTCTTACATCTACTATGTATCCCAAATATGGAATTAGCGCTGAATCAATTATTCCTAAAAAATTGTTCAATAGAATGTTTTACCTAAAGTTATAATATTAAGTGATAAAATATTTCTTAATCATAATAAACTAATCCAGAAAAATATTACGCAAGCCTGAAGATTTCACAGATATCACAATGGTTTGGACATCTATTAGCATAATCTCGAGGCTTAGAAAAAAATTTTCTGGCTGAAATATTGAGTTAGCCATTTTTAAAAATTGGCTTAAATAGAGAAATTTTTCATCATTAGGCATGATAAAAAAGAAATGATGTAGACGAATAATTTTTTCCTTAAAAATTTTGTAAATAAGTTTTATGTAATTAATAAAGAAGAAACTCAAACGATTCACTTACTTAAGGTCTCGGGCAAATTCCTACTGTGAGATCAGCCCCGCACCGTTCCCTAACATAAATAAAATAAAACTCACTATTGCGGTGCAGAGAAATCCGTTCCTTCTTTTTCAAATTTAATTTAGAATGAAATCCGCACTCATACTATTGTGCGGCGGTACCCATTGCGGTCATAAAATATGGGAGTTAGTTGCCGTATAAAGAATTACGGTTTTTATCTATGAATTAGTGGGTTACGGAAGCAGTCCATTCTTATTTTTTATTTAAACAAACCATCGCTCATACCGGGGTGCGATGTCGTCATTTTACCCTGTGGGGAAAGAAGTAGTTATTTAGGTTGATTTTAGCACGATGCCTAAATTACGATCGAAATCCCCTTGCCTACACTCACTAAAATCCCAGACCATCGAAATCTGTCGATCTCTCTCCCACCTCGACATACGAACAGCCCCCCTGACACGACCTCGAATACAAGATTAAGTTTTAGAGTAAAACAAACAATTAAGATAAGCTGTCCATGCCATTTTAAGCCTTAAAATCAAATACATTGGTCAATGGATATGAAAACATGGATAATTTTTTATTCATATATATATTGATAATGTTTTATAACATTTATTAGCCTTGCTTCACTTATATTTTTCGTATTTTTATATATCATTAACATAAGGTTAGTATTTTTCCCCAAATTTGGGTTAATAGAATAACTTTTTATTTTACACTTAAAAATTTGAAATAATTTTTACACTTTCTGGTTTAATAGGCAAAATTTTTACACTATATATTAATAAAAAATTAAACTCAGAGAGTCAAATGTGTTCATTTTATTATTATATAGATCAAAAAATTTTGAACATATCTTCATCAAAGAAGGAATCATCTTTAAACAATGATCAGGCTAATGTAACAATTTTTTTATGGGAAAATGAGTAAACTTGTTACTTATTCGATAAAATGGGAATGTCGATAACATTGAGATATCTATACAATATAAAGTTCAGACTTAAAAATAGTCATAGTTTTCAAACTTTCAAAAATAACTTGGAGGATCTCTTAGAACAAAAGTATGAAAATGATAGTGGACACAATGTAGTAGATGTGTACATTGAATGATTTAAAAGATATAAATAATAATAAGTATAAAATATTTTTTTAAAAGGCATACCTTTGAAATCAAAAAGCTTGTTAAGACTTATACTCAGGTGTTTTTATTGATGCCATTTATAAGGTCAACAATTATTGCATTCCATTATTCTTACTAATAATTATTGATGGAAATGGACATAGCATATTATATGTATTTGGCTGGTCACTGGGGTAACTAGAATTTTCCAATGTAAGGAGGGGGGAATGTTTTAAAATTTTTTGGGGAGCTTAGCCCACAAACCTTATTTTGCCGGGACTTCAGTCGGGTTTCACTATAAAAATTTTTATATAATATTAAGTGGTCTTTATATTATTTTAGTTAAAGTTGTCTGAACAAACCTTAATTCTAAAACAAGGCATTTTGTGCTTTATTAATATCTGACTTTAACTAGTATGGTAGCCAATAGAAAGGAAAAAATATTAGTAATAAGATTTTGACCAATCTTAGGATTTAAAAGTGACTGAAAGAATATTTTAGTAAATTTTATCAATGTTTAAATCACAATTGTTTAATCCGTTTGGTAGACAGCATAAAGAAAAAGAAAATTGCCAAAATAGATATCGTGCTAAAATGGAAAATATAAAAAATTACATATCTGGCATGCGTTAATACTTAATGCCTGACTAGTACTTTCAATTCCTCGCTCAAATATGAGAACCACGAAATGAAACTGAGTTATAAAAAAATTGAAAACTATGACGTCACGCTCTAAGCTTGATGTGGGCCAAGGTTTTAGAAATTAATTCTGAAACTTATAACCATTGATAGGGCTTTATTAGTATATTTTATTGCTTTATTCTCTTTGGTAGTTGATTTAAAGAGGAAAGGAATTATTGCTAAAAAAATAAAAAATTGTCCAAAAAGCATCATGCTAGAACGGAGGAAATAGAAGTTCTAACTATCTAGTTTGCGTTAATATTTAATGCCTTATTAATTCTTTAATCAATTTCGCCAGCGATCAAAAAATTAACCGAATTATGAACCAAAAATTATCTATGATATCACGTCTTAAGCGAAAAGTAAGCCAGACATCTGGAAGCTATATCTTGGAAATTTATGTCGGTAATTAGCGCGTACATCATATTTCTTTACTACTTCAACTCGTTTGGTAGATAGTTTAAAGGAAAACATTTTGGCAAAATAAAAAAAAATCGGCAACATCATGTTAGTTGAAAATTTATAGAAGCAATGAACAATATGTAATGCATGATTAGTACTTAGTAATTAATCGACGTTTTTTTACAGCCATTAAATAAAAACGATTTATAAGCAAAATAAAAATTACAGTAAGTCTTAGACTGAATATTAAATATCGAATTTTTAATGATTAAAAAATCAATATGGTATGAATACATTAAGGCTTCTCTTTCCCCCATTCAAGATATTTTTGAAATTTATGATTCTATGATCTTCATAGATGCTATTCTTTTCAGTTTGTTAAGAGAAGTAATTTAAATCTAACTAAGATAGAACGAAGATTCTAGAAGCACAAAACAATTGAAAAGATTAAATAAACGAAATATCTAAAAGGTTTTACTATTATTATCATTATAAAATACCTATCATCTTTCAAAATAAAAGATTTGATGTGGTTGTAGCTTTGATACTTTTATATTTAATAGCTGCATAAAAGATCTTCTGTTATATGATTTAATATATAAATTCAATTTGTATATTTATATTTGTGTAAAATGCATTATGTATCCATTATACTACCATTATACTTTGTTTAATTATTGATTTTTTACTTAATTTTTTGGAGTTAATATACATATAAATTTACACTGTTTATCAATCAGCGCCACAATATTTTAAATTTTTATAGGCACACAAAAATGTGCCGCGACGCTGCATATGTAACGACGCAAAGGTCTAACCCTACTACATATCTGCTATCCTGTAGTGTCGCTGGCACCTTCAGGATGCTCACTTTTTGAAATTTTAGTAAAATGAGCCAAAAAGATAAAAATTTAGCTAAAATTATCAACAAAAAAAGGTAATTCTAACTAGAATTTGCAAAAAAAATCAAATTCAATTTTTTTTTAGTGCGTTGGCTGGCTCTTCAAAGTTTTGGGATTTGAGCTTCTATTTGCCTCTCTCCTGGATGACACTTTTAATCAGGGTTTTGTATTTGACAGGTCAAATACGATTTGGTCAATTGACCGATATTTGACTGCTAAAATTCATATAAATGTGTTTTAAGAGATTATTAACTTTATTTTATATATGTAAGAGGCAATGGTTTTTTTCCGGCAAAGTGTTGTTTTTTCAACTTAAAATCATTTTTTTTATATTTAAAAGTCTTATTTTAACCGGAAATGTTTCAGCGTATAATATCTATCTTATAAATTATAGATAATATTGCCATTAACCTTTGAGTTATCTATAATTTATATAAAAAATCTACTGAAAAACTTATATAAATTATATTAAGTTCAAAAGCTCATGGCAAAATTGTCTGAAATTCGCAGTAAAACATGATAAAATAGATTTCATGGTAAAAATCATAAAATTAAACTACAGAACCACAAATAAGTTGTAATTAACGGTTTTTTAAAAATATATTTATGTTGCAACAAGACATGGAACGATATCGGCTATTGTATTTCATGCAGGACTTCAAACATTTGCATCTGTTATCTGCTGGAGATGAATTTTTTGCTTTCAAAAAATTCCGCTTAATATATCCTTCATAGCGGCACTTTAACTCCATTTAAACTGCCAATCTTAGTTCTATTTCTAACCTCTGAATAAAATGGTCCATGAATTAGTTAATCATTAAAATATCTGTCTTTAAAGCAACCCAAAACAAATTGAAATTTGGTAAAGATCATTAAGATCTAAAAGGGTGCATGATACTTCTTTATGTATATGACCATCTTATGGCAGTTTTTTATTTTCTCTTATATTTGGATGTTATTTATTTGTTTCTGATGATGTTGTCGTATCTGTCTTTTCTTCAATATTAAGTCCTGCTCTATATGATCTTTTTGTTATTATATTTTATGTAACCACTCAGACTGTTCCTTCTGTGGGCTCTATTCGGTTCTACTCCAACTGGTAAAACGGGTTAGAATTAATTAGGTTCATTAGGGGCTTGTTGGAAGAAACCAACAGGTCATGCCTAGTAACCGTATGCTGTAAGGTTCCAGCTGGTAGGGATCGACATTTAATTTACCATCAAACAGAGGTTTATAAGCTGGTTGATAAATGTCTAAGCTTGTGATATACTCCTGTGCAGTATGGTTAACTGATCTTTTAATGTTTACTCTAACTAATCGAATTTGTTAATTATCGATAATAAGTAAGATGTTTTTCTTATTATAGCTGATTCAACAAAAATTGATAAAATAAATTTAATTAAATCCAGTTGCTATATTGTTACACTATCTAAATTAAGACATGTTAGATTACCCATTGTTCTGGTCCTTTAGAATGATAGTATTTTAAGTAAATTGTGGAATTTTGCCATAAAAAAATTTATTGTATATTTTCTAAATTCAGATCATGTC